GTGCCTTCTGGTTAGGCATAACTTTGAGTCATACCGCCCGCTGGTTTCTTGACCTGCGTCAGGTACATTGCTCACCCATGTAAGACCCTGTGCGGCTGATCTCCAACAATAACTGGAAGCCTTATAAAGAACATAAGTGTTTAAAAGAAACTGTTTAATATGCACGTAAAATTTATGCGTCGAGTTCTTTCTGCTTGCGTCATGAAAGTGTTCAACTAAATATGTAGTGTGTCGATTTGACCTTTCTAGGCTCCGAAGAAGGTGAATCCATCAGGACCTTTACTAGTATTGAATAAGTCTTTTTATTGACAACCTCATATCTGCTTAAGAAGAAAACACTGTATTATTGAACAGTGGCCCGGTTAATAGAAAGTTGGTCCTGATATTTATTCACATCCACTTCCAGAGTTTTTTTTAGAACTCTAGTTTATGGTTTAGGTGCTTCAGGGGTGGCTTAAGGGAATTTGGTGGAGTTATTGAAAGGAGAGCGCGTGTGTAGCGCATTTGCTAGAGGTGTTCTGCAATACACATGGGTTCTATACCGCACCGCAGTCTCACCAAGCTTTCCATCACTCAGGGTTAGGTATATGTACCAGACCTGACTTGAAAGATAGCAGCACTGACTAGGCTACCTTGAGTCATTATATAGGCTATGTATGCATTCAGTCACCCCTAACAGTGCTTGACAAAGTCGAATGTATGACGCATCCCTCAGTGAATAATCAACGCCATGAGCTCTATCATTTTATTTTTATTGAAAGGTGATTTAAAACTGACTTCGGTGTTATGGTAGTGGTTCAAGGGTTATATAAGGGTGGTCTAACGGTGTTGCTTGAAGGAAGTTTGAAGCGGATAGTGCAGTGGTAATGATGCCACTCAATAAGCGCAAAGCCTTGACTCCCGATCGTTCCACTCCTCCGAGATCAGGAAATTGGTGCCAGGCTTGTTTATTATCAGCACCCTTCTAATCCACGAAAGATGGTGCATATCCGTGGTGAAGATCTGGGAACGACCCCGGTTATCAAAGGATTGCAGAGCACTACTTGGAGAGCTTTCAAGAGCGTGGAGGATGTAGAGACGGAGAAAAGAATGCCAATTCCGTACACATCTTCTCAACTCTACAACTCTTCACATCTTATGGCAGGGGTTAGAAACCTGGACGACCCGTGAACAGGATGAATGGTCGTGAAAAGGTATCGGAGACGCAGCAGAAGAGGGCGATGTTAGAACATTTCACGCAAGTGAGAAAAGGAATTCGAAGTTATGACCTTCGTCAACGATCGGAGAACGGGCTCAGTGCTATGCACGCCGAAATACGAAGAATCACAAAGGCTCAAGACTTATTGCATTTGAACGACAACTGGTTGACAAGAGCCATTAGTTAGTGCTTACAAGAGTTAGCATTCGATTATTAATTTACTCACTTAGTTGGCCCGTACTTACAGAACATATGGGACTTGTTCGTTTTGTTTGATTGTCATTTGTGAGTTTGGCTACAGCATGATGCTCTGTGGTCTGCTCTCTTGTTTGGCATGATGAATGCTAGTCTAACCTGATTTTCCTTGGAAACTTGAGATAGCTCTGCTAGAGCGTTCTCAGATATTCATCATATATAATCGCCGACCGTTACGGACCTAGGAGAGCAGCTTGGCGGCCAGGCAATTGGGGCAGTGTATACTAATGAGCCACATAATGCCAAATAATGTCGTTTATGTGTGCAATCTACACAGACGACCTAGGTTTCATCTCTGCTTTACGACTCGTTCAAAACTACATCGCCGAAGGACAAATGTGCAGATGTACGTACCATCTTATTGAGTCACTAAGAAAGTGTCCATAAAATTCAATGTAATTTTTCGTGGCAACACTCCCGCTCGCAACAGCACGGCTCTGAGGAAGGCAAAATCGCCGAAATGTCGACCATTGAAAACAACAACAACGAGAGCTTTTATCAGCCTCGCATCGGCTCAACAAGGGCAGTTCATAAGGACATATAAATAAGTATAGTTTTTCGGTAGACGGGCTTGCCTAGTTGGTAAATTGTTGCAAAATGTCGTTTCGCAACAATGCGTTTAGCATGCCGATTTCTTCAGATAAACAGGTACAAATACAAATTAGAACAGTCGCCAAACCCTCAGAGTAAGTTAGCAGACTTTGTTAATTTGTTAAATAGACACGAATTTTGCCAATCGTTTACCGCCTCATCGTTAATGAATAGTGTTTCTGGGTGTCAAACAACGATGAACGTTGTACATCGCCGGTCCATCCTCCAATACGGTCTCCCGGATTTAAAAGCACTCTCACATTTCTATCTAGAAGTCCAGGTAAAAATGAATTATGCCAAAATTGAACGCGGTCCTGGTAGCAAACCAGTTGTAGGGTGACAAATTGCCCACCAGTTCATAAGGGCCGTCGACTGCGTGTGGTGACAACTTCAAAAAGCCATAGCACGGCTATCTCGAGTCTTCGAGAAAGGAGAATCTTACCCATCCTGTAGTTTAACAATCAAATAAAGGTTTTACTTATCCCGCACAATCTTTCCTGAAGACCGTCTATTTAAATATTCAGAGATAGAATCTGAGTACTAAAAGTGCTTCAAGACCGACTTTCCTTCAACCTCGGCATGTTTAGTCGACATGTATTCCTTCGTTGATAAGCTAGTGCGAGTTGGATAAATAACTTTACTTGGCTAACGTTTCGATGTCTTCGTCTTCCTCAGAGCCTATGATCCGAGTTAATGTCCACAAGGCTTTGTATTCTTGATATGGTATCTTCGTCGTCGTATCGAATCGGATCTTCTGAGGTTGCTTCAATCGAGTGATGCTCTACTGAAGAAGATCGGACTCGATATGGCGACGAGGGCACTATGTAGAGAGGATGGAGGACTGTGGACATCGACGTATGAAACTTGTGTTACTTTATCAATGAAGGAATACCGAAACTGTTATTCCTCAAGAATATTGGATACATTTCGCTAGACGGTTTTTTTTCGCACTCCAGAAATGTATTATTTAGTGGGAACCTTGCACCTTTCACACTTATATAAATCAACGCCGAAGAGTAGAGTTATGAAACGTCTATATGCGTCTATAACGTCTAGTCTATATGCGAAACGTTCAGAAAGTCGAGCACCATAGTGCTCTTTGTCTCCGTTTGTTCTCAATAGTGCATTGGGCGAGTTATTTGAAACGAGTGCCTTTTAATCCTTCATTTTGCTGCAGCGGTTCTAACTGTTCTTACAGTCTGTGCCTAATATTTCGCTGAGTATGATTTGCATTCAATTCAACGAACGGTGTGCAATACTTCCTCTCCCACCTTCTCCGAAGTATAGATTAAGATCAATGCGTATGGGTTGGAGTGGGTTAAGACATAACTGAAGCTATTTCTTCAATCGCTAACGACGGTTTTTTCACGATCATCAGAGTATTCGATGAGTAGAGAATTTCACTACTTTATAGAAGCTTTGCTCTATCGTCAGTGATTAGAGCTGCCCTGCAGTTCGCATGGATTCGATCCAACGTACCCGGCTCACCAAGCCTTCCATCCTTCCGGGGTCGGCAAATTACTACCACGCCTATTTGGGAGGATAGAGGATAGCACTATTAGCATGAGATATTGGCTGGCCTACACAAAGCATTGTATGGTCCAAATATAAATTCAGTCACCTCTAACGATGCTCAATAAAATCGAATGCATGGCGCATCTTTTAGGGATTGATCAACGCTGAAAGCTTTGTCCTTTTATCCTTTGTATGTATATACATATACATATACATATACATACACACAAATATATATAATCTTAACCTTTTTATTTGCGGCCTACTTTAATTTTTAACGGCAGGGTATCATGTGAAATACAACTAAAATGATGCCCAGATATGTGCAAAACTCCGGACCGCAGGTGTCTGCGTTGGGGAACGAACGCGCCATTGTCCTTTCCGGGGAGCAACGCGCTCACCACCACACCATGCGGGTCCTTCGTTTCGCCTGTCTCTCAGCTAGTCTAGAGAGAGAAAATTAAAGTATGGAGCAAATAAAAAGGTTAAGATTGTGATTTCGACTTCAGCTTCAACTTAACTAGGTTCGTTGCCGATTTGTGATCCCTAGATCAGTCCCGTTAACGGGTGATTGCTGATGGCGCAGATCAATGTAACTAGATGTGAACCCCAACGGTGCACTGGGGGAAGGGGACTCGGACTCGGGCGTCTACACCTTGGTCGCGGCTCTGAAGAAGACGAGGACACGGAGACGTAAGTGGGATAAATCCTAGCATTACAATTTCGAATGCGCTTAGTAATCCAAGGAATTGTTGATCATTTATGGCGAGGTATTATGAAAATCGGTTCCTAAAGTACACGGTGTTTGTTTGTTGTTTTAAAAATTGCTGAAGAAGTCACGAATTGGGATTGTAGGTGGTGGCTGCCTTTTTCTTAAGCTTGTGGTGGATTAAACGATGGATTTGTTGCTGAACAGCGATTGCAGATGGCGTAGCTATTCAGTTACATTGTTTAACTTTTATTTAATGCCTGCAACCACAACGATGGTAAAATATGGACAAAACTCTGAACCCTAGTTGAGCTTCGAACTCGCAAATCGCTATTTCCGGAGACTCACTTAGTATCCACTGCACCATCGAGGCCTTTGCTTTGCCTTTCTTCTAGTCAGCAGAATAGGTGTTTGCTAACAGTTCATTCGTTTGAGCGACAAGGCCAGTAATCTCCAAGAAAATGCTCTTCTTATAGGGTTCATGTAGGGTTTGCTGTTACATAAAACGATGGCGACGACTCCATAATTGTTAGACGGTAGAATTTTGATAATGTTTAGTTTCATCGTACTCTTTCTTTGCTCACTTATTTTTCATCGTTCTCAACGAAGCTTCTAAATACTTTTTGTTTGAGCATGTGGTGTAAGTGTAAGCTAAGGAACTCTCTCGCCTTTAGTCGCCGTTTTGTCGGAAGTTCCTGTGCTACTTTCGAAGATATCCCTCATTTTTACAGGATGGGACCGCATCGTGTATTGTATAATACACTTTGCCGAATCGGCGACAAAGTGGTGTACCCTCTGCTACCCGCCTTCGCTAAGCCTGCTTGGAATCATGCGGCTGGACCGAAGACGGTGTTCTTCTGGGCTCCCACCATCAAGTGGGCCCTTGTAGTGGCAGGACTTGCCGATCTGGCCAGGCCGGCTCATAAGCTGTCTCTTTACCAGGTGCGCTCTTTCGGTTCTTGGTGAGGAGTTAATTGCTACTTGTTGGTTCTTTGAAGTGCTTCAGAGCCTCCATTAACTCTGTCCATCTTTAGTAAAAAAAATACCCTGAAGGTTTTATTTCGAATTAAAAGTTAAATCGTATCTGCTTTGTTTTTTTTTGCAGTGTTACACCACTGAGTGCTTTAGAATTCCTTTTCTTAACTTAAGATTTCGATTGATTAACCCGACGATGCTGCTTTTTAGTAACCGCTTTATAAAGTTCGCTTCGTCGCTCTTAAGCATACACGTATATATATGTATATATTTGTATATATATTTAAAATACTACTTTGGTTTTAAATTTGTTTCCGTTCCAAGTTCTGAATCAAAGCGAACTTAAAGTTTTCAAAGTTTTTAAATCAACTGCACCAAAAACCGAAGATTCATTGGGAGCATCGTCATCTCCCAATGGACGAAATGCGGTGTATTCAAACGGCTTGGAGTTCAAAATGCGAGCCTCAACGAAAAAAAAAGCACTTTCTTGGCTCCACAAGTTCAGAGTTTCATCACTTTGAAAAAACATGGCAAGGATCTGTAAATTTTTGTTTTCGCAAAATTTCGATTACCCAATCGTGGTTCGATCTGGCTCGAGGTCGAAGTTTTGCGAATATCCCAGCATCGCTGTGGTTGTATTTAACATGGTACCCACTGTGAAATATTATAGTACGCAGAAAATAAAAAGTTAGCAGAGTTATGTTTTTTTCAAGTTGGTGGCTGGGTAATTTTTCGGTACGCGCTCAGTCAAATAGATGGGGAGTATGTTAACGTAATGTTTAGAAGTGCAGGTTGTTAAACTGAACAGGTCCCAGTGATCAGTTCTTGTCAGTTGAGGGTTCTGTGAAACAGATGTGCCTGTTGAAGTCTGAATTCAGAATTCCGCTCTTTGCGCAACAGGTGCAATTTGGACGCGTTACTGTCTCGTGATTACTCCTGTCAACTACTACCTGAGCAGCGTGAACTTCTTCGTAATGTGCAGCGGACTTGTGCAGCTGTGTCGAATCGCAAATTATAGGTGCGATAGTGCTTCCAGTAATGGCACTATTTAGTTATTTTAGCGTTCTTGACGCAATAAAACTTATCAATAGCATTGGTTCCAGGTACAAAAATCCTGACTGGGATCATCAACATAATCATGGACACGATGAGAAATCATCATAGGTCTGCTTTAGTACATACGTCCTTTTTCTGTTTATCAACGGAATGCGAGGGACTGTGTAATTTTCCTCGAACGTTGGGCAAGATAGCGTTTTCAGCGTGACAAGAATATTTTTGTGCTTGTACAGGGTAATTTTTCTGTTCCTCCCAACGGTTTACCGTCTCATCGTGGCTGGGAGGTGTTCTTGGGTGTTAAGCTGCGATCTACAGCGGGGAATTCACCTCCTCCCGGCAGGGTCTCTCAAGCTAAGAAGGATTTCGACTTTTCTATCAGGAAGCTTAGCTAAGAATAAACCAGCACCAGGATCGACCACCGTGGTGTTATCAAAGTAGTCGCATGATGGCGAATCTCCTGATCCATCCACAAGGGCTGCGAGTGTGTGTGGTGGTGATGATGGGACAGACTTTGGCTTGACTGATCTCGGTTCCCCAGGGAAACGTAAGAGCTAAACCAACAAAACTCTGAAAAATGGAGATTATGCTGGGGTCTGCACAACCAGTGAGGGCGGGCAGTCCAAGTAAGTATCCAAGTAATTTTTCGGTTGTGGTTCTGCTTATAAAGTTGAATCACATAATAACTTCTTGCCAACTTCCTTCTACAAACTTTGAAACCCGAATATTTGTTTGCGGAAATATTCGCATTAACTCGAAATAAACTCGAAACATGTTTCCTTTTAAAGAAGAAAACCGTAGATCGTTTGGAGATTTTTGGATTCCATTTTATCAGTTTGTCGAACTGTGGAAATGCTAATGGAATTGTTTTAGGACGGAACACATTTGCTCAATCAATAGGAGGCCTTCGACAGAAACGACAAGCCGCATAAGTAGGGAAACTCCACTGTCACTGCTCACTGTAGAAAATCCAACTTAATTTGATATTTTGTCACAGTTATGATTATAAGTAAACAAACGCAACTTGTTGGTGTGTGGCATCAAAAATCGACGATGCACTTTTGTTCCAGATATTTCTCTCTGCTTAACATAAATAATGGCGTTCTCCTATTCATTAATATCCACGCATTTACTCTTTCGGTTCCTGAATCAATTCCGTGTTGGTATTGTGTCCTCGGAATGGCCGTGGCGTATCCTCACTTCGATCTCGTCCATGCCTCTTAGCATTTGTATTACACGCCCGTCCATGGGATCTCATTCTACTCATTAGTCCTCACTCGTCTTTGTTATTCTTGCAGCGCTTCCTCTTCGTCATGCTCAATCGCATTTTCTGGGTAGGGACAAAGAGATTATGATGCAAAATTCAACAGAGCGTTCCTGATGATAATGACAGTAATGAGTAGATAACCTGTATCACATCCGGCTTGTCGAGTTAATAGAAGCGTGCAATCAGCAGCGGCTTTTGCCTTATTGTGTCTGTTGTTGAAGGAGGAGGAGGAGGCGTGAGTAACGCTAGATATAGAAACCCATTAAGGTCAACTAACTAATGTTTCCAGGATCGACTTTCTCTTAACCTCGGCATTGGAATATGAATGTGTCGTTTTCTTGTTCAGCAATCGCGAGGTTTTTAGACGCGAGAAGTAACTAATGTTTGTTAGACATTTAGATCTGGAACCTCGTTGAAAGTGCGCCAGTGAAAATTGCTGTCGTAAAAGAAACGCGAATCTAAGGTGGTAAACTTTTCCCGGCGTATAGGCTGTGGTCATAGGCTGTTGTTACAACTTGGAAACGGTCCGTCATGAATTTACCAAGCAAGCAGCGTATCATTTAAGTGCGAATTCTACTGGATTCCGTGTCATTCTTTATTAATGCAAATCATTCAAGTGCTGAAGGCCTAGTATTCTTGCGTTATGTGCAAATCCAAATATTTCCGTCATGTCAGCCTTAAACTTTGGGGACATTCGGCAAAGAAATGGAGATTTCGTAAGAGATGACATTTATAATCCACCTCAGGAAAGAAAAGAATGACCTTTTTATATATCATAAAGGTGAGGTACGCTCTAGTCACTCGTGTTAGGATAGAGCGTAGGAATTGAGGATTCGTAGCAGAGAAGTGGGATCCATTACCATTCTGGTATCAAAGTCGCATGGAGGTAAACCTGATCCCCAAGGGCTGGGACTGCCTGTGATGGTGAAGACTAGGTCAGACTTTGGCCAGGCTGTCTTCAGGATTCCAGGGAACTACAAAGGCTTAACCAGCAAATCTCCGAAAAGTAAAGATTAAGCTGGGGCCCGCACAACCAATGAAGATAGGCCATTCGAGTATCAGCTAACAGAGAAGTGCGAATTTCACAATGTGAGAGTGATACCCAAACATTGTCCAAAGTGGACGGATTCTTAGTGAAGGACAGTATTTAGGCATTTTTGGAGCGATCTTTCATTTCATTTGAATAAAACATTTCCCATCATTGATGCGAATAGATGCAGAACAAAAGAGCTACTTGTACGCTTCCTGCTCAGCTTGGTCCGTAGGTTACTTTCACCCCACTACCAACAAAGTACTTATGTGAGTAGAAATGTACGATCTATTTATGAGAATGCATCATAGTAGGCAATATAGCTAAACATAGTTAAGTACATAAATTGCATAAGAAAATAAGGATGCAGGATACTTCATAGAATAAAGAATATCACTTGTCAACTGTCATCCCGTTAATCGTGAAGTGACTTGACGGACGCTAGCAAATCTACTCCCACTTGTCGCGTGCAGAAGTAGTCCAGTGAGTTCTGCTCGCTTTGGGAGCTCGTTGAGTGTCATACCTTTCTTCTAGGCTTTTCGTGAAGAACTCTGACCATTGGGTCGGTGATATTCTCGCAGTACATTTGACATCCCGTGCAATCCAGTTAGCAACGGTTCTTGTCCATCAGTTGTCGTTTATAAGTTTTATGTGTTTGGCCCACTTTATTTTAGACAGTTTGGCGTGCAAAACGCCGTATTTGGTTTTTGATCCTTGACGTAGGTCGGAACGTTGAAATTTGTCTCTTACTCGCGTAGTACGGAATACTCTCAACATGGTCCTTTCAACTGCTCGTTCCGTTACGCTGAGTGTTCTTTCATCCTGCTTACGACGCGACCACGTTTCTGATGCATACGTTAATGAAGGAAGTATGGAAGACTAGAAAAGGTCGGCGCGGAGTCGGATGTTCTTTGCTCCCTTCGCAACATTGTTGATGCTCTTGAAAGCTCCCCAAACCGCTGGTTTCCTCTACTCAACTCTGGGACTAAGTCGCTCATTATGTTGATTTCCCGATCTAGATAGACATAACTGGAGCTTTCGGAGATATTCGTTCCGTTGAGCGTTAATGAGGCATACGAAACCAATCCGTTCCTCATGAACATCGTTTTTGTGAGGTTTAGTCGAAACGAGATCTTTCCACAGGCTCTATCAAAGTCGGCAAGCATTTGTTTCGTCTTGTTAATGCTTGGTGTTATAGGAACGATGTGATCAGCAGAGCGATGATGTTGTTGCCGATCATCGATTTTCACTCCCATGTTGTCTCATTCCAGTGTTCACATGATGTAAACTTTACTTTTAATTTTTAATCTAATCTTTAATTAAATTTTAAAAATTTAATAATAATTTTAATAATTTCAATGGCTTTACAGATTTAAATTTTAATTTTTCCTTTATTTTTTAACTTTATTCAGCTAACGTTTTCACGTTTTCGTCTTCTTCATTGCTGATGGTCCGAATCCGATGATCAACAGTTGTTCGTACACTCGACGTAACTGTTCATAATTGCATCAAGTCGAATCCAGTGGAGCATCGCCCGACTGAAGAACCTCACTCGGCAGCGCTCTTTTGTGCAGGACGGTTGTTGTAGACTGCGATTGTCCATTGATAGTCGTTCCCTTTTCTTCAAGCAATCCAACCTGCACCAGTCGGTGTTATTATCAGCTAGCACAGAGCGTAACAACATTTCAAAAACCGGCTTTCCTTCAACGTCGGTGCGATGGATCGACATGTATTTTCTCATTGATATGGTAACACAGGGTTGGTTGAAAGCTTTGTTCAGGTAGCATTTCGACGTCCTATATCTACATTCCTCGTCATCCTCACATCCGATGATACGAGTCGTTCGTCCTCGCGTTGTGGGTGTTCATAGTCGTATCGAGTTGAATCTTCAGTCTTAAACTTTGAAATAAATATGTTGTAGCTAATGCACTGCGACATTAAGTATTAAAAAAAGGAAGTTTAAAAATTTGTGTGTACAAAGATCAGAGGAAAGAGGAGGATGGATATAACGGTATAACAAAGTGTCGCGGTAGCTCAGAGTATTATTCTACTGACTCCAATAACCAGCCGGTTTGGATCAATGTACTAATTTACTTCGGCTTTCAATCAGTTCATTCTTTCAGTTGAGCATATAAAACACGAGATTTTTTTCTTTCGAGCTCTCACAATGGCATACCGTTGAATGGCATCTGGCCGCTGTAAGGAAAGCAGACGATCAAGAAAGCTCGTCTTCCTCGCATCATCGTAGTTCTGCGAATAATTTGTAATAAGAAGTTGCACACGTGTTGGAATCCCCTTATAACGAAAAAATATCAAGATCAATTCTGATCCAGACGAAAACTGTCCTCACGATGCTGAAGAAAAGTTAGATTCCCTGAGGGTCCATATTCATTCCTTTCATCATCAAAATTTTCAAATTTATTGCCTTCAGCACAGTGGTATTCTGTCGAACTCTAAAAGAAATTGGAAACCAGGTGAATTCTTGGGGAAGTGTGAATCATTTTTCAATAACATGAATTCTTGAGCGCTTGAGGAGTACTACTTATAGCATTGACTCTGCACTCTGCGTTGCCTACAAAAGTCCTGCGTGGAAGACTAAGAGAAGAGAAACAACTACCACATGAACTGGCCGAGATAACTGCAATGCTTAGAGTGAAGTTGTGAAAAACCTGAATTCACTTTTTGGCTAGTGTGGCTTTATGACCACTTCGAAGGCTGCACATACTGGTTCCTTATTTGTTTTCTACATTTCTTTCAATATACTCAAAAGTATGTGCCAAGATGGACGAAAACTGGTTCTCTTATTCTTAATTCTTTGCCTTGCCTAAATTTTCACAGCCTCCAGTAAAACTTTCTTTGTGCAGCTGCCTCGGCTACTGAACACGAAAACGAAAATCTGGTGAGGAGGTGTAGAACAAATCTTGTATGATTCCTTATGTACCGCTTTCTTGATGAGCAGGAACGTGGTTGTTATCATATTATTCATTTACAATAGCTAACGGTTCGACGGGGAGTACTGGTTTTCCGCCAAAGCTTCAGTTATCTTGAAAAAAGTGTTGCAATAATCGTGAGTCTGCTCATGAAGAAATCGGTACATTATTGACCAATGCCGAGATTAATAAGAAGTACGTTTTGAGGATTCTATATGCTTTATTTCGCGTTAATTTCAAAAACGAATCGTTGTGAGAGGAGGTTAAGCCCATTGAAGATACGGTGTGATGATGTGATCAATCTTGAGTCTACAGTCTATAATAGACGCTCGTATTCGGTTACTGAAGTGCTAGAACAATTGCGGTCGCTGTGCACGCAGTTACATAGCGATTTTAGTGTTCAGAACCCAGCCATTGCTCCACACACTCCACCAGAGCTACAACCGGAACCGATTTCAATTCTCTGACGGCAGTGACTGAAAGGGAGTACTCGATTCGACTCGGCGCGGCTAGGAGGACCCACATCGCAAAGAACCACACCCGCTGTGAGCACTCATTCTAATTGTTCCGGCTCAGAAAAAGCCAAGGTGCAGAGGCTGACGCTACGAAGAGCAGTGATTCGTAACAAACTCGCATAAGCCTATGAACAAAGCTTATCCATACCGGGACTAGGAGCTGGAAATGTCACTATCATCATTGCTAGTAAAACATCGGTTTCTTTTCTAGCCGATACTGGTTGTTACCAATATTTGCTTCCTGAGATATTCCCTTGAGGCGTGGCAAATCCTCCATTAATCAAGGTCAAATCGCACTCTTTTAAACGCAGTTTTGTCATGTAAATTGTCTTAAGCAATGAAAGGTTGAAATATTATGTGATTACCATTAACACTGCAGATTTCCAGTTATTTGAAAATCTCCAAAGCGACCAAGGACATCAAGGTGTGTTCATGGTGAAACTGCACTGGAGTGCAAACGGATGTAGAATTCTATAATCGTCTTTAACATTTCCCAGGTGCTCTTAAGAACAACACCAGTGTACCGATGTTACGATTTTTCTCATTTCTTAAAACTCACTGGAATCCAATACAATGCAACTTTGAATGAAGTTTAGGCCCAATGCTTAGAGATCTCGTGCAATCATACGCTCGCAATTCCAGGTCCCACCTCATTTCTGGTCAACCTAGGCTTCCATCCCTCCAGGGAACATTGATAGAAGACTTGACTGCGAAGAACTTTCTCATATCTACAATAGCGATGTTCTATGGTGAAGTCAGGAAAAAAGCCGGCGATAACGTCCTCAGTGTGGTAAAAATAATGGGAGTTGCTCTACAGTTGCATTAGGTAACATTAACTACAAAAAAGTATCATGTTATACGGTATTTATTGATAAAATCGCCTAGAAGAAGATTTGTTTTTAAACGCGTAGGATCTTCGTTAGTTAGATCATTTATGTATGTCGCAAGAGACACATGGCCGATGACCCTAACGATGTGGACGCGCTCAGGACAGACCGGTTAGTGTTTTACATGACAGTTTGTGGAAATACAGAAAACCCTTCTCATCTATGATCTCACACTGCATTCATACTGAGCCTTCCGTTCTTTGTTCAACCCACAGTGCGAGAGCTACGAGTCATCCACTTCTAGTCGCCATCGAACGTGTGAAGAAGTCACAGTTGAATACAAATAGTTTTGCTAAAAATACAGGAAAGACCATAACTGCAACATTGCAATAGTAAAGGGAAGTGATGTCAGCGAAAATTCAAGTTTCATTTGTATCTTGGCGGAGTTGTTTCTCAGTCGTTGATAGAATCTTTAATTTTCAAAGCAACTTTCATACGCTGAGCATAAGCATTTGTGAGTTTACGAACTGTTTCCTTCCTATCTATGTGGATGGTTGTCAAACCGAAATGACGTAGTTCGTTCGAAAAAAAGTGTTTATTGAAAGAGTTTCTCTTTGGAGCATCTTATTCTAAGCTGAAACTCTAGCTTAGAGAATAATTCATAGAACTTCTCCAATCTTTGGTTTTAAAATCAGTATTTTTAGCAAATTTGTGGCGAATTGCACAAACGCCAACATCGAGGGTGCATCCTCAGAAGATGCTGTATCGTGCACTCAGCAAATTTGGTGATCAGTTCGTCTACCCCGTTCTGCCAGCATTTGCCAAACCCATATGGGATCATCCAGCTGGACCAAAGACGTTGTTTTTCTGGGCCCCACTGATGAAATGGGGTCTAGTAATTGCTGGTAGCAAAGACTTAAAACGACCGGCTAGTAAACTTTCCGTTTATCAGGTGGACTAAGGACTCGGTTGATTCTTTGTCATGTTTATTATTGTTAATTTTGCTAGGTAAATATCGCTCTCCTTCCAGCAAGGAAATTAAATCACTTACAAAAAAAGAACATTGTTTTTGTTGTGACGTAGCTGTCACTGTAAGCATGTTTGGAAAAACTTCGCAGTTCGGAGCTTTTTTCATGTATCACACCATGGTCCCAGCACTTGCATTCGATTCCTTTCCTCACATCCATCACCTGCGTAGGTCTTCAAACTTTTTGGTGTGTGGCTTCGGCCACTGCTTGAGGAGGTCTTCGTTTTTGTCACCAATGTCGTTGAATTCTGGTAGAGCCAATTGTCTCTGGAATCCCAAGATAGGCGGGCATGGTGGGCACTTGGCGTGGATTCCAACCAAGGCCCCAGCGTGTATTCGCGGACACCACTAATCACTGCGTTTCACGTGCCCTTAAAGCATGTAATTTTCAAAGATACGACCCTAGTTTTTATGCTCCTTTATTGTCCTGCTTTCGAAGAAATTTAAGACGAAATTCAATTTTTTGGAGCTCTTAAAGCAGCTGTCGTAACCACAAACAACAGCGATACGTGGCGCCCAGGGGAATAAAAGGCTCCCGCTTGTCCAATCGCTTGGCGGCTCCACATATGGAACAATGAACATTGGCGAGTAAAGATGAATCAAAACAATGTCTTGTGGACTCCAGCAGATCAGAATTTTTTCCCTGCAGAGCAGGAAAATCTCCCTATTACCGGCGACTATTTGTAGAGCGTGATAGTTTTTTATTCGCAGTAACAATGCTCATTACTGAGTTGAGATGTAGCCGTCGAAATTTGAAATATGTTGTTGTTTTTCGCATTTATGCATTGAAACCAATTCATATCGTGACGAATAAGCTACAGTATGTATCATAGTGCACTTTTGGAACATATTGAATGTAATAAGAAGTGATATTTGCCTGTATGAATCATTTTTGTTTCAGAACATCGCTCTCTTTATCACAGGAGGCATATGGACTCGATACAGTTTTGTAATAATTCCTGTGGACTACAGTCTGGCCACTGTGAATTTTCTCGTGTGCTCAGGACTCTCACAACTATGTAGAATTGTTCATTACAAGTCTATTGAAGTTAATCATTCCTTAGTCCGAAAAGGAAACTATGCCGTTAAAGTTCCCAGGATCGACTTTCTCTTAACCTCGGCATTTGAATATGAATGTGTCGTTTTCTTGTTCAGCAATCGCGAAACAGCACACATTTACTTCCATAAAAACACAATACAATACAACGCTAGCTGACGTTTCGGCAGTTTCGCCTTCTTCAGAGCCTGGAAG